CCCTCTCTCACTCTCTTTCTATCTCTTTCTTTCTGTACATATTAGAATAGAAAGATAAAATAAAGATCTACACGAAGCAATGTAATTATGCTCAAAAATAGATACAAAAAATTAAATTAATTAATCAATTAGTCATGCTTGAAGGACATTAGAGCAGTTCGACAGACAACTGTAATGACATTTAAAGTTTATTCAACTTATACGTATAAAAATAAATTAATTATAAAAGCATTTATCTTCTCTAATTCATAGACTAAAATTATGTATAAAATTTTAAATCGCGCAGATGTATTCATAATTCAAGACATTAGACAGCTTTTTGATCCTTTGCATAATTTATATTTAGTTAATTGGAATAATCTTCAATAAAATATAACAAAGATGTAATTTTGCGAAAGCATAATTATGAATATATTACTAATTCAATTTGTCAATATTCCTTTGTCATCTATGTTAAATCATTACGTAACTCATTTTCTCCTCCTCTCTCTCTTTCTCTCTCTCTCTCTCTTTCTCACTGCCTTTAGCGAGCATGTTGTGCGGAGCAACTCCCATTTCTCTTAGTTTAAGTCCCTTAATGTCTAACGTCGACGACAAGGGAACATCCGGTGATGTAATGTATACTACATGTGCATTATCACAAAGAGAAAATTGTAACAAGTCTGCAAACCAACCACTGTTTTTTAGATATATCGTTATCATTATTATTATTGTACGTCGGATCGTATCGCTCATTATGCTCGAAATTCAAGCAGACTTTAAAAGTGAAATGAGTGAGTAATTGTATATTCGATTATCGATCGAAATTAAAGTCTTTCCAGAATCTGTATAATGTAATTTTCAAGGATGTGCTGATTGCGCACAAGCGTGGATGGTAATTCCTCTCGCTATCATTATCATCACCACGTGCCTGATCTTGTCTAGCCTTGGCAAGATCATTGCCACCGTCACGATCGTACCGAATGACATAGCGATAATAATAATAAGCACCACCCCGAGTTATGAAATACATAAAGAATCAAGATCTTTGAATTCATAATGTACTCGTCACAAATCAATCTTCTTTGACGTATAGCGATGCGATTCTCGAGTATCCCAATCTAGTTGGATTATGATGGACAAGTTTTTATGTCAATTCTTATAAACAATATAGTTGTTGAATATTAATCATATAATAAATCATGATTAATAATATCATAATTATACATTTTTCTGAATCAAGAAACTAAGATATATTATAATATTTAAGTACACAAATTCTTTGTTCATTGATTATATCTAAAGTCGATCTTGAACGAAGAATTTCATCACACAAGCGTAAGAAAAGAAATCGTTTATAAGCCAGTCAAAGAATCTATAGAATAGAGTCCCGACAAATCTCTCATGTACTTGGCAGATTATTTCTTTCTTTTGCACAATGCGGTGAATAATTGAGATTAAAAGATATTTCACCCGACAAATTCCACGCATGAGAAAATTGTGCACAAATAAAATAGAAATTTATTGTCTCAGATTTGACATTTTTTAATTTCAATGACTTATTCCTGGAAAACGTCGCGCAAAAAATATATGTCATACTAGAATCCAAAAATTCAACTCTCCAAATATCCTGAAGTGTAGAGATCTCACAAAAAGCTTAAGATTTATAAAATCTGTGTTTTTCTTTTTGGAAATTTTCTGTTTAAACTTACTATATTTATGACTCAAATATTTATATATTTTTTTTTATTGGAACGCATTTGCTTTTCTTTTGATAATAAAAAATTATATAAAAAATATACCCAAACATATATCCTTCTAAGAAAAACACGGACTAGTTCATCGAGTCGCCGTTCATTATTTGCTTAAATATCCCATTTGATATTCGCGATTTTATTAAAATATATTAAATCCGAAGTCGCCACAATCTTGATCATAATCGGACATATACATGCTTTTACTGAAATTAGTGAAATTCAAGCAGAGAGAAGAACACATTTAAAAACCATATAATCTTTTTAATTATCAATTATTTTTAATATGTTTCCTACTCAGGATATACATATTTGATTTTGTGCGTATCTATTTAAATAACTTATAATAATACTGCTTAATGTCCTTCAAGTATACTCACACGTGTGTAAAACTTTTTCCGGCACTATAGTTGATTTATTTATGTAATATGTATTTTTAGAAATATACAAAAAAATTTGGTATATTAGCATAATACGTTGAGTTTATTTGGAAATCGCACCTATGATCTCCGATTTTTTACGACGTAGAACGGGGAAAAAATCACGTACCTGATTTTTCCAGAAACCTACCTGCGCAGGTAACCGGCCTGAGGATTAGCCACTAAGATTAGAATGATTGCAGGCACCTGCTTGCATTGTCCTCAAACCAGACATCGATCCCTTTTCCCTCGTGGAATATTCAAGCACGCGCATCCCACAACAGCGCGACGTTAAACCCTCGTAATATTTATTCTTTCCACAGCCGTAGTGTGTAGATGCATCGCTGATTGGTCTATTCAGAATTGAATTATTCACGAAAAAACATATTTTAGTTTTGACGTTTAATAATAAAATAATATAAAAAAATATGAATATAAAATATTGAATTCGATACAAATTATATATCACAATTTTATTAAATAATAAAGATTGAAATTAATACATTAAATATTATACATTAAAAAAATTATCAAGAAAATTCTATTCTCTTGATTTTGTTTCAAATCAACGATCTCAAAGCAATAATAATGGTACAGCTTAATAATCAACGCAATTTTTTAAAATAATGTGTTTATATACATCCATAAATAAATAAGATAAAACGAATAAAACGCATGAGAGCCAACGCGCTGGATGAGAGGAACGCCAAAAATATATTATTCTTTGTCACATTTGTCCGTTTTATTTTATTTATTTGTGGTGTTTATATATATTTTCATATTTTAGATAATTTAGTAAGTTTTATAATAAATGAGAAACTTTCGGTGATAAATCGATTATGTAAATTCAATAAATAAGATACGTTGTATAATTTGCTAAATAAATTACATGAAACCGTAATGCTAAATAAAATTCCGAGAAATTTTCTCGGGAGGAGAAAATCCGCAGATATCGTTATTACAGAAAATCGCTCGACTCGATCGAACACGAGAACGTGACGTAAAAGGAAACGCAGGTCGCGAAGTGCAGTAAATGCACTGCGATGGCTGGTTCTTCGAGAGTTTTATCATTCCCGCTGCGATCTGCAGAGGTTGGAAGGTCAGCTGAAGTGTCTTGACGTCTCTCTTTCAAAGATAGTGTATTTGCTACTGTCAACTTTCCTTTGTCCCTCTTAATACACGCGCGATTCGTTATCATCGACGAGCGCGCAAACTTGCGATAGCCACTAATAGTTCGCTTTTTCATCTTAAAAATTGCGTGTTATACAGTATGTTTTGAACAGATATTTCGAATATTTTATCAATGATATCGTTGATAGAAAATAAATTAACAATAAAGAATATTAGTAATAAAATACTACACAGCTATTTACCGTTAAAGGATTATTGATTATTGATTACAAGGTATTAACAATAAATACATGCTTCAAAGTATATATAAAAATAATTTTAAACATATAATATTTCTTCCATTTAATTTTGAATTGTTTGTGTGTGTAAGTTTAATAATAATTTACTTATGGGTAATATTATGTCAAAATATAATGTTATCAAAATTAATTAGAAATCAAGAAACGCACGTTACAATAATCTCTTTCAAATTAATTAAAAAAATTCGCATTATAATCAAATCTCTTGAATGATATATTTTTATTAATTGGTATGAGGAGATTGCATCCTATTTTTTAGAAAAACATCTCACTTTTTAGGAAACAAAAAAATATATAAATTATTATTATACATTTACATAATTACATTACATAAATGGATGTTTACAAATAAATGCATTACGAAATATTAATCAAAAATTTATAAATATAATGAAAATGATGTAAGAAAGATGTTTTTTTTTTTACAACTGCTGAAATGATTGGCTAAATTCGTCTGGTACATTTTTCACAGCCATATCTTTAACAGATTAAAATTGCCTCCGTAAAACACGTTCTTTCGAATGAAATTCGAATGCACAAATCCTCCGACGCGGTTCTACGGCCGGATATTATTCTCCAAGATATCAATGGAAACGCGTTGCTTGTGTGTTACCAGCACGCGCATAACGCGACCGGCATAACAAAGACCGAACTCGATTACGATCTATTACGTAAATCGATGAATTAATCGACGAATGAAGCGGGATTTAATCGCGTTGACGTTTCTCGAAACGACGACCGTTTATGGACGTGCATGCGATCGGCTAGCAAGGAAGTGTCAAACTAGATAAGCGAGCGGCCACATTCATTACTTCCGTCTACCACAGATGCGCCACGCTCCATGCATTCGAGTTGCATCGCCCGAGAGAAGATCAGCTCATCTCTCCGAGATTATACAGAGAGATTCATATGGTCCACCATCCGCCATTCTCGTATTTTTACATTATCATTTCATTGTTTGCGCTTTCAAAGATCTCAGAGATTGATATTAAATGATTAAATTACTGATATTTTAATGTCTACACAGAAATTAAATTATTACTATTTAATATTTAATTAAATAAATAATATTTTAATATACAGAAAAATTAAATATTGAAAAAAAAAGATTATAATATCATAGTTTGTTCTTAATAAAATTTTGGTTGTCCAAAAATGGAACATTGTTTGTTGATAAATTTATAAAGACATTAATCTAAAATTGAGAGAAAGTATAAGGAAAAGTTTTCAGAGGTCCATAAAAACTTTTGCAATTTTTTCGTGATTTTTTTCCGTGGAAGAAAGATTTTTTTTCGAGATTCAAATAGAAGAGTGATGAGAGTGACAGCCCACCGAAAGAATTTTCGCAAATTCGCGCTAGCAATATTTGCGACGTTTCTCTCGTGGGTGCTGATTGATCCCTCGTGCGGCGTACATACACTTCTCGTGGTGAGTGGAGGAGCGAACGATCGGAGCGAGTTGCGAGCGGGTCTCGAGCGGAATCTCGAGCGGCTCGTCGAGCAGTCCGAATCCCGCTTCCCGCGACGACGTTCGATTTCATGCGCGCTCCTTCACGCTCGAATTTCGATCGCCGATCATGACACGCGGACGGACGAAGACGTGCAGGTGAAACGTGCCGCGCTTCCCGCCTGACAGTTCAACAGAGAAGACAAGGAAGAACACGCGACAAAGTGCTCCATCGTGAAAGTTAAAAAGAAAAGGAAAGAAATCCGATATTGGCCTAGAGTTTGCCGAAGAATTTAATTGGTGGTGATATAGTTTTGTGTGAAGATTTTGTGGAAGGTTTAAAACGCGTTTCCTGTTCAATTAAGGAGCAAGGTAATTCATTACCCTTCATGATTATAAAATTGATTAATTAATAATTGCGAATAGGGATGAATCTTGATGATTTTTTACATTCCCACGATTCAAAATAATTTTTTATTAGAATCCTTTATCTATTAAAATTTTTCATCTGCATTAGAGAAAAACATCGTAAGAGAAATACTTTCGTGAAAATAATTTTATATTTCTACAAGTTTATGTATTTTTCATTTCTTTTTGTAATGTTATTGAAATAAATGAAAAATAATTGAAAGCGACAAAAGTTCCGACGATAATAAACTAATCCAAATATTTACACAATTATAAATCGCAATTGAATATCGATTCAATTATATAATACGTCCTTCCTCTTAATTAAACGCCTTTTTCATTAACACGTTGAAATTTAAAATAATTATATGCTCCTTTGAAGAGAGAAAGCACAGAATGGGAATAAGTGTAGAAAGTGTGGCCAAAAAAAAAACAGACTTATTATAAAGTAATTAAATTAATCTTATAATTCGTACTGTTCCTTGTTTTAAAGCAATGACGCTTAAATAAACCAAAAACATCTGTTAAGCCTGTCCGTAACATCTATTACACAATTAATACGATATAAAATATATAAAAAAATTATTACGTTATCACGTATTGTAATTAAATTAATACGTATATTTGAATTAATAATAATATTAATCTTTTATTTTAAAGTGCAAAAGACCAACATTTTAATCGTAAAAAAAAGAAAAAATCCAGACAAAGAAAGAGGACGGATAAAAGGAAAACCGTATCTTACAGAACATATTTATCAGTTTAGTTCTAGTGAACAAGAGCATATTGTATTTCCTCATTAAAAATTCTATTTACGGAAAAGCGTTTTTTCTATAAACAGGAAACGTTTTTATTACAACGATTATGTTATGCCCACGCAGTTTGGTGCAAACCTTAGTCATCATTTACGGACGTTTGTACTATAACGCCCTGTTGCCGACTCACTTTCGTGTTAACTCATTGCTTCACAACCACTTATTATCTTATTAAAGGCCATTGTACCGTTTCTCTAAATAATAAAGTAATGATGACTATGTACGGTGGGAGAATTTGTCGCTTTGAGAAGCGTAAGGACAAATTTTGTGAAAAAACGACAATATGTGCCAAACAGGATATGCGAAATTAAAATATCGTCGAGTCAAGGATATACAAAATATAAGAGAAATTCCGGCAAAATAAAACATCCGCGCGAAAGAAATAGATTACTAATGTATTAAAAGATCTGCCATAAACAGCTTTTTAAATACTCTATTGTTGTTTGACAAAAATATTTTATTGTGCTATTCTCAAGCAACATATTTCGGTAGAATTTGCATGGTTGTAAAACCACATTTCTCTCTCTCCTCCCCCCTCTCCCCCCCCTCCCTCTCTCTGTCTTTTCATCTGCAAAAATTTTATTACATTATGTTTCATTGATTGTGAGTTTAATATATAATTACTGCTCTTACCACATTCCTGATTACTTATCAATTGCATGTAATAAGCAAACGTATTTACTTGAACGCGAAATCCAAACAATGGAGAAACATCTTTTTTGTCACTTGAATGTACTTGCTTTTTGCTACTTGAATGTATTTAATAACGTCTACGTCACAAATTGGCTGCTTTACTCCTGTCACAGGGCACATTTTATTATAAAATGATAGAGCAAAGATATGGACTGGTATCAAAATGTATCGTTTCATAACAACAACAGGTCAATCAACTGCGCTGTTGATATGTTCCTTGAACGTCCCCGTCCCCGTAACAAATTGTTGACCTCGGAGGGTCGGTGGGGAATTGCATATTACTGACGCATCGGCAAATCTGTAGCGAGGGGACGCTGCTGATATTCGCAAGGGCCTCCATCGATCATTTTCGTCGCATCAAAAAAATCACTATAGAGAATGTAGAATATTACTGCGTAACGTTCGGTTTTAATTCGGTCAAAAGTTATCTTCAAATTATCCTTGAGGCAAAGTCAAGCTTTTCATTGAAAAATAAGAATTTTATCGACATACTATCAAAATAATATCGGTTTTTGCGCATTTTTGGTACTCTGTCGCAAAATATCTTAAAATGATTGTGTGAAGAATTGCAAATAAATATCATTATATATACAAAAGAAAAGAATCTGATAATCTTCGGGGAAAGATTTTTCAAACAGTAGTTTTTTTCAGATATAAAAAGAATATACGAAAACATAATAAAAACTATTAATAAGAGATGTAGACACTTATCATAGACTCCAATCTCTAAGAAAATATTATCTATAAAACTCTATAATAATAAATCAAGATTTCAGTCAGCAATTTCAACGCCCTGTACTGCATTATGTGATATACTAGAGACGCAGTTGCATCTTTCTATATATTACTAGTAGCCCCGAGAATATGTTACGCTGTGATTTATTCACTTTATGCACTCACGCAGTTACCCTTTCGCAATATCATTCAAACCAAGATAACTTATTATTATTATTAAATATTGCGGCACATATACATATCAATCATTGCGATAATTCCATACTTAGACAACGGAATTTACGTGTGAATTATACGTATGTGATTTTATGCGCATATAAAGCGCGATCTCTTGCATCTCTCCGAGGGTGAGGAGGAGGAGGATGAGACGGGGGAGGGAGAGAAGGGGGGACCGGAATTGACCGGATAATATTTGTGTGAAGAGAGACCGGTCTCGAATGGACCGCGAAACACTTATGCAATCTATTTAAATTAGAGAAAAGTAACTGTGTGCGCGCGCGAGCCCGAGTCGCGCGCAGAAAGAGAGAGAGAGAGAGAGAGAGTCCTGTGATTTTATGCGCATATAAAGCGCGATCTCTTGCATCTCTCCGAGGGTGAGGAGGAGGAGGAGGAGGAGACGGGGGAGGGAGAGAAGGGGAGACCGGAATTGACCGGATAATATTTGTGTGAAGAGAGACCGGTCTCGAATGGACCGCGAAACACTTATGCAATCTATTTAAATTAGAGAAAAGTAACTGTGTGCGCGCGCGAGCCCGAGTCGCGCGCAGAAAGAGAGAGAGAGAGAGAGAGAGTCCCCCGTCCGGTTGTCCATTCCTCCGGGCCCATCGCTGCGCGCCGACGTCGCCGGCCGATTCTCCGTAACCGATAAATTAAACACTCGGATATCTCTTCCGGTTTGAAAGGACGCGAGCGCGCCGCACCGGCCGCGCCGGCGATGACGGTAGCCCCGGTCGTTTTATCGGAAGAAATCGAGCGAACGATCTAAGAGACTCTGTTCGATCGTCGTCGTTTCGCATCCGCGACGGATAAAAATGTCTCATTGTTCTATTTGATAATGAATGATTCAAATCGATGAGTCAAATCATAAACGCTTGGTATGATTTCATGCCGCATTCTCCCCTCCCCCTTCCCCCCCGTTTTACCTGGCACTACGAAAATACACGTTTTTTGTCGATGTTATACGATAGACTAATAATAATTTATTAATTGTATAGTAGTATTTGTAGTATGTGTGTTTCTTCAGCATAAATCATGTTTAGCTCTGCTTCATTAATGTTTCCCAATATTTTTTAATGCGTGATGTTGTAATACATTTAAATTGTATGAACTGTAGAATAAAAAAAGTAATTTCTTCATTAACACACATATTTTAAAGTTAAATATCTAATTTTAAATTCTAATTTAAACTAGTATAATCTGAATATTCAAGCTAGACTTACAATCCGAATTTGCGCTTGGTTTTACAAATATATTTATTTCTTCAATATTTTGTTTCCTCAGAAGATTATCAAATTTATTCAAATTAGCAAATACTTATTTCTTTAAAAATTTAAAAATTGTTTTCGCAGAATTTTGATTAACGTTGATGTTTAACCTTAATATGTACCTTTAATCAAACATGAATTCTAAAATATTGATTTCAAATTTATCTGATTTCACACAGTTCATCACACGCTGCTCATTATAAATTAATGTCGCAGTAATAAAGTTTATTTCTGCTGTACAGAATAACACAAAATTTACACTCGTGCATGCAAGCAATCAAAGTACAAACTTTTTTCTGGCGAGATGTAAGTGCCTCTTAAAGAAATTCTGTTTATGTCAATATGTTGATTAAAGATTTGTTCTATAATCTCGAAACGCTGCGAAATATTATTCCTCGATAAATATATTATCTTCATAATTAAATCATCAATATGAATAATAAAATTAATACGGAATAAACGGAAATTTATGTTGTGTGTGTGGCTTTTTATTAAGTTTACTTATAAAAATTAATATCATCATCTATTAAACTTGCATTCGCAGAGTATAAAATGTGAACTTCAAACTCTCTTGATATATAGTCAAAATAATATTAAAATATAGAGAGAGAAAGAGATGTACAACGCTTTATCCTATTTTCTCGATATATTCTTGCTTAATTTGAAATCACGCGTCATATTTGGCACGTACGTTTTGCACTTTTAGCCAAATAATGCTCTCCAAAATAATATCAAAGGGGTACAAAGCTGCACAATGATATTCACGCATACGCGTGCAACGCGCTTATAAATATGCACGACGCACGCGAGCTATAAAAGCTCGATTTACGTACGTCATTTTAAGGAACGTAACCCAACCTTGTCCCGATTCCCTTTCCGTAGCGATTGCTCGTAACGATAGACGAGCCATGCGGTTTTGCAATAGTTCACAGCTTTGAAAAAAATAAGAAAAACAAGAACCAACACACGTAATCACGTTATCACGCTCGACTCCTTCGTTGTCAGAGAAGAACTGCAAACCGAAAGAGTCGAAACGTGCACGGATATCATGTGGATGGTGTTATGTCCAATTGTAACTTTGTACAAGTTCCAAAGTGAGTGTAAAGAAACTGTATCTTTTGACTAAGCTATCATACAATCTGGTTACGATTATTTTAAATTCCGCGATGTGGCGATTGTATTTTTACAAGATATAGATGATTACTAGTCAGTTATTGCTGACATTCTTCGATCTATA